AAATTTGGAAAAATCGAATCTATGCAACCCCCAAAACTAATCTTTAAAGGGGTTTTGCTCGTTTAGCTCGAATAATGGAGATATACAGGGTGTTTCTTTTAACTTGAGACAGCTCGATATCTCGAGAAATACGCATTTCACGGAAAAATGTCTTAAATAAAAGGTTAATGTGACCAAAGGGGACATTATTTGGAGCTACCGCTAGCCACCCCCTACCCCTCCTTAAGGGTGAAACGGGGGGTAACTTTGGAAAGTCAAATGGAATGACACAGAGTTTGGTAGTACATAAAAAAATGAATAACTTTTATTTGAAAGTTTTTTTCAATTTATCAACAGATGGCGCTGTGATTCAAAATTTAAGAAAAAATGTATTATTTGAAAAGTTTGAAAAACAAAAATTAACATTAAATCAACAATAGTCGGCTCTAAAAACAATTTATAACAAATGTTCGAAATGTCGTCCTTCCATTTCGACACCAAGTGGAGCACCAGCGTCCCTGGTCGGTAAACGTTTGGTGCGGTACCTTAAGCGAACGAATAATCGGACCCTTCTTTATTGACGGTGAATTAAATGGCGAAAAGTACCGGAATTTTCTAGAAAACGATCTGACGGACCTTTTGGAGGATGCACCACTAGCACGGCTCCAAAACATGTGGTACCAGCAAGATGGTTGTCCTGCACATTATTCGACAATTGCTCGAGAGGTGTTGGATCGGGAGTTCAATGGCCGGTGCACCGCGGTGGATCGGTAGACGTGGTCCAGTAATTTGGCCTGCTCGATCACCTGATCTTACGCCACCAGACTTCTTCCAGTGGGGTTACTTAAAAGAAAAAGTTTACGCTGCAATTCCTACAACTTGGGAGGACATGGTGGAGCGGATCAGGAACGCCTGTGCGGCGATACCGCCCGACATGTTGGCGCGTTGTGTGCCAGAATTCATTACCCGCATTCAAAAATGTGTTGACATGGAATGACGACATTTCGAACATTTGTTATAAATTGTTTTCATAGCCGACTATTGTTGTTAATGTTCATTTTTGTTTTTCAAACGTTTCAAATAATACATTTTACAAGGAAACTCATTTTTCTTAAATTTTGAATTACAGCGCCATCTGTTGATAAATTGAAAAAAGTTTTAAATAAAAGTTATTTATTTTTTTATGTACTACCAAACTCTGTGAAAAAAATCGGGTCATTCCATTTGACTTTCCAAAGTTACCCCCCGTTTCACCCTTAAGGAGGGGTAGGGGGTGGCTAGCGGTAGCACCCAATAATGTCCCCTTTAGTCACATTAACCTTTTATTTAAGACATTTTTCCGTGAAATGCGTATTTCTCGAGATATTGAGCTGTCTCAAGTTAAAAGAAACACCCTGTATATCTCCATTATTCGAGCTAAACTGGTAAAACCCCTTAAAGGATTTGTTTTGGGGGTTGCCTAGATTCGATTTTTTCAGATTTGATCCCAGTTCATTTTTTGTGTTGCACAGTGTGATGTCATAACTATTTTTTACACTTATTCTTAATGTTTTTAATCTTTTTATTGTTTTACTATTTTACTTCTCTAATTTTATTGACGAAGCTGTACTTAATTTAAGTTCTATGCTAATAAAGATTATTATTAGATTATTATTTTTATTATTAAATAATTTATGACAATTTAGAGAAAAACCTTGTTTAGTTTTGGGATATAGGAACCTATAAAATTTAGTTTACAGTTGTGCTTCTTACAAAAACATAGTGATAGTCCAAATTGTTATTTACGTACTCACAATCCACACAACAAGGTCTGTTCTATCTATATAAAATGCGAACGAAAATCAGGACTGTTATGCGCACCACGTGAAAGTTTAATGGCCACCATCTTTGATGTATTTGCCGCTGTTAATTTAAAAATAAAAAGTTGTTTAAAGTTTAAATGTAAACGCAAATGTTTGTTTTAAACAAAAGATTTGACAAAAATATGTTAATTGGGGAATTTAATTAATAAATTATTAAAGATATCTTTACAAAAAGGTATTTTGAGCAAGTAAATATAGGTAGTTGTTTTAAGTTTTAACGTAAACAGAAATGTGTTAATTAAAATAAACACAAGTAGGTACACTCAGAGTGGGGCAAATTGTATTCGATTATGATTATGATTATGATTATTATTTATGAAATGTAATCATGAATAATGATTACAACAAAGTAATCATAAATCATTCTAACATGAATAACGAATATTAGTTATTATTTACGTTTTGAGTGGTTATAAATACTGAAATCGTCAATTATCGGAAAAGAATAATGATTAATAATTATTGTATATGATTAATCCCGGCGAAATTATATAACAACGAGTGAATGAATTTTCTTAGTTACATTGTTCTCACTTTAAATTTGTTGAGCAAGGATTAAAGACACCAGTGTTATTTCTAGATATTAATTTTTTTTTAATTATACATATCCCGAGTCAAAATTTAGATCGTAATTTAAACCTACTTTGACCTACCAAAACTGATTTAAAACCTGTTCAGTCTCTTTACTCCAATTTAGCACTAGAACAACCGAATTAATCTTCATTTGAACCGATTTAAACCTCTAATAAAATTTGTTGTTTAAATTTAAACGTAATTAGAACCGAAAAATCGGGAAATGGACTTATCTGCCATGTTTTAGGTCATAAGTTGGTTATCTTTAGGCGAATATAAAACCGTTTAAGACGGAAATTGTCAGGCTTAAGGTTTAAATTACGATCTTAATTTTGACTCCGGATTATTATAATAATTATAATATATAGTCCTAAGACTTTTTCTTTTAATTGGCATTTTAGTTTAATATTTTGTCGAATTTCGATCAAAAATTGTGCGTTTTTCTTCCAAGCACGATGGGGTGTATATTTCGTAAGCTAGGCATGGTTTTTATAAATAATTTTAAAATGTTTCATCTAACGATCAGAAAATAAAAAATATTTCAATTTTTTTTACAAAAATATGGTATTTTCTTAAAATTGAAATTTTATCAATAAAATGTGTGTATTCAAGATTATTTACCAAAGTAATTATACAGAATGATTATAATTACATAATTTATTATTTAATTCTGATTATGAATATTAATTATAATCATACTTTCATAAATAACGTTATTCATGATTACAACGTAAAATTTGATTATAAATAATGAATATTATTCAAGTAAAGTATTCATGAATAATGACTACATAAATAATCATTAATCACCAAAATAATTACTATTTATATTCATGATTACAATTTTATTCGATTACTGCCCTACTCTGGGTACACTATTATTTGTGTAAATTAAACATTATATTACAATATGGTAATCAATAAATTTTTAATAATTAATAATAATTATTGTAACTTTTAATACATTTTCTTAAAAATTGATTATTGGCAATATTAAAATTTTTAAATTAAATTATCAATGATGAAAGTATTTTAGCAAGTAAAAATGGATGTACCCGACCATAGTCGATGATTTTTTTAGAAATTAAAAGTTAAGATAAAGTAATATAAATCAAAATAATTTAATTAAGACATATACATAATATTAGTTAGTTGAGTACTGCAAATTGATAATTTTTTAGTAAATTAATTTTTGAAAGTACGGAAATTATTAATGATGAAGGTAGGATTTCTATAGTAAGTAAATATATAAATAAAACAAAAAAATATAATATATATTTTTAATAAAAAATAATCAAAATAAATATTATTAAACTTAAACATAAATAGTGTTTTTTAAATACACTTAAATTTTTGCTTATAATTTAACAAAATAAATATATTTCTTTATGCTTATAAAATAATACAATTTAGCGTATTTAAATTGATAAAAGAATACCAAAACATACTGGTACAATTTTAGACCTTGATTAAATGTATATTGATCTAAGAAAATATACTATATGACATATGTCTATTTTATGTTTTGGTATATATACATATACATTAGACTGTGCCAAATTAAACGAATATTTTTTTTCTTAGGTCCCATACGAAAATTAGGTTGTATATCATAAAAAAATAATTGTGTCAAAAATTTAGCCCCATATCTCCATTATTCAGTTAGCGCTCGCTTAAATAAGAATTTTTCATGAAAAAAATTTTTTTTCGCAACTTTTTGTTTTATAATTCATTAAATATAACAGATACAAAAAATATCGTTATATGGTTTTGTAGAGAATTAAATTCCCTACAAAAATGACCTTTAACCGAATTTAAAAAATCCCCCACGTTTTTGTTTTAAGCTAAAAAGAGCAAATTTTTAAACAAAAATATATTTATATGTGTTGTTAAATAAATATAAAAAATTATTTTACAAAAAAAACTCATTGATTTAATTTTTTAGGGAAACTTTATGATCTAAAGAAATATTAGAGTCGACATACGTATATACCTACCATGCATTATTTTATTTACACATTCGGTGAAATTAAATTAACTGTATAGGACCTATACTATAGGTATCGATGCGGCGATACCTTTTATAAATATCGGTATTAGTATTGTATCAGCAAAAGCCTGCGGAATGATTAAACTAGTAATTTATTTTATTTTTTTAACATTTTTAACTTAATTGATATAATAATATTGCAATAATGCTGGTTAAACCAGTACCTATAAAAGCTGATAATTTTAATATAATTTCAACTGTTGAAATAAATGTCTATAATAATGTATTAAAGAAACATTTATTTATGCATAATTAAAAATAAAAAAAATAATGAAATAAAAAAAACTTCAAAAATTTGCGTAGGTGAGATCCGAACTCGGGACTCTTGCGTGGCAAGCAGGCATCTTACCATGACACCCACAGTTTATTTTAGTTACCTTTGAAATAAAAAACAATATGTTTAAAACATGAAGATGGCCATGAAAAACAGTGCTTTAGTGAACTGACAGCTCTGATTCTAAAATTTGAGTTTATATTTACATAAGTACATGTGCCTATAATTAATTAATTTAGTTCTTGAAATAAAGATATTAGGTATGTCAGAAAATAGTTTAAATACTGCCTACCTACTGGGTGCTTTTAATAATAATTTGACTCGATGTAAACTCCCAAATAACAGTGAAGTTTTAAATTATTTTATGTTTAAATATAAGGTTTTAAAAAAAAGTATTCGGTCAAGTGCTACGGAAGTTATAAAAGAAGTTCAAGATATTTGGAGTATTATAGATGTACCACTTGAAAGAAGTCAACATGTAACCAAAAAATTGGAGTCACTTTTTATAGAGTGGAGAAATTTGAATAAAAGTCGATTTAAAAAACACTGTGCTTTTCACATATCAAAAATAAAGGAATTTACTGATAAATTGAATAAATTATTCGATGTTCGATTAAAGAAAAAATCATCTCAAGAGTTATCTCCTGAACAACTTTTTTCATTAGTGCGAAAAAATAAAGGTCAACATATATCTTTATCAATTAACGTAGAAGATAACGAACCCCCTTTAGAGTCAATAGAAAATGTCGTTGATAAAAATGGTAATTATTACGGGTTTAAATATATAACTTTAATTTCATTATGAATGGCACATATTGTCTCCATTATCACATAAGGGCGTATCTCATATTTTACAATTAGGTTTAAACTAATTTAAATTACTTTAAAAAAAAGTGCTACTAAATAGGTAGTACATTTATTGTAATACCTATAATAGCACTTTTTTCCTCAAAAAATAATTTAAATAGGTAGGCTAAAAACTTGTGTCAATATTTAAAATATGAGATACGCCTTTATGTGATTATGAAGACGAGGTGTTCACAACATATGTATATCAATATATTGATTCTTATAGTTTCTAGTTTAACTAACAAATTCTATAGAATTTGTTAATTAAAAATCTAATCACAAAAAAATTTCAGCCTTAAGTCGAGCTTTATCTAGTACATCTATTTCTTTTGAAGAAGTGAGCTCTTGTTCTGGAGCACTAAAACGGACAATATCCAATTTTGAGGACGAACTTTCTGAATACTCAAATGACAAGAAAAAAATCAATATTATGACCCCAGAATTGACATCAGCTTTGGACAGATCAAATATCTCCAGCAGAAATGCTACTTATAATTTAGTTGCTGCCGCTAAAAGTTTGGGTCATGATCCTACAAAAATTAATATTAGCCATAGAGTGATTCATAGAGAACGTATTAAAATGAGAAAAATGGTGGCAGCAGATATTAAAGAAAATAGTTTAATTGTTGACAACGTAATATTACACTGGGATGGTAAATTACTCCCAGATTGTGGTGGACCGCATAAAGTTGACAGGCTTCCAATTGTTTTATCTGGTCTCAATTATGAGCAACTACTAGGGGTCCCTAAATTAGATAGTGGTACAGGATTTAACCAAGCTAAAACTATAGTCAAAGCATTGAATCGATGGAACATTGTTAAAAATGTCAAAGGCTTGTGCTTTGACACTGCTTATGTTAATTCAGGTATTACACTTTTATGGAACTAAATGCATGCTTTAAGCACAAAGCCTAAGGCTGTTAAGTTTTACTTATAGTATTTGCTGTTTATCATTATTAAATGATATTAATTCTTATTAAAGGTGATGAGAATGGAGCTGCTGTACAAATTGAGAGAGCCTTGAAAACAAAAATACTTTGGTTTCCCTGTCGGCATCACATTTATGAGTTGGTTATGAAAAGTGTTGCTGAAGTTGTCTGGCATGTTTCTTCTGGTCCAAGTCCTGCAGTTTTTAACAGGTTCAAGCAAGAATGGACCACGATTGATCAGACAAAATATGAAACGGGAATGGATGACCAATATGTAAAGAAAATTCTCAACCATAAAAAACAAGACATTTTGGAATTTATTTCACTTCAAATGGAGGTATATTTAAACGAATAATTATCATTATTTTATTTTCATAGAGAAATTGTCATTATTAAATTAATAAAAAAATAATTTCAGGAGTTTCAACCAAGAGGAGATTATAAAGAACTTCTAAATTTAACCTGTATTTTCTTGGGAGAAATTCTGCCTCAAGGTATTTCTTTTAAAACCCCCGGAGCACACCATCATGCTCGATGGTTAGCGAAGGCAATTTACTGTTTAAAAATCTTTTTATTTAAAAAACAATTCAAACTGGCTAAAGTTGAATCATCCAAATTAACTCAAGTTTGTATCTTTATTGTGGACATATATATAAAGGGATGGTATAGTGCACCAAGCAGTGTTCAAGCCCCGTATCAAGATTTTATGTTTTTGAAGAGCTTGTTGGATTTAAAACACATAAACGCTGAAATGTCCAATGCTGCGTGTACCAAATTTCTCAGACATCTTTGGTACTTGTCTGAAGATCTTGCAGCCTTATCATTTTTCGATGAAAGAATCCCAACCGATGTTAAATCAAAAATGGTAAAAGCAATAAAATGTCAGCAAAGTACTACTGATAACACAAGAAAGTTTTATATGGAACAAAAAGATTTAAAATCATTTTTCAATAAAGATATGAGTAACTTTATAACTCAAAAGTCGATGATTTTATTTGAAAAGTTCAATCTACCTTCTAGTTTTCTTGATTTGCCTGTAAATCAATGGGAAGCTGATAAAACATACCAGGATTCTTTGAAAATAATTCGAGCAATTAAGGTTACAAATGACATTGCTGAAAGAGGTGTTGCACTTATCAATAAATATAATGAAGGTCTTACTTACGATGAAGAACAAAGACAATTTTTATTACAAGTTGTAGCTGATCATCGGAAAAAATATCCAGATTGTAGTAAAAAAAATTTATGTTTTTAATAAGTTATCTTGAATAAAAAAATTGTATAAAAATGAAAAACTGATATTTTAATCATAAGAAGAACTTATTACATTTATTTATATTCTAAATAAAAATGCCGTAGTGCTCATGTAAAAAATTGTATGCTCTTGAAAACCAGTGAAATTTCACTGATTTTCCAGTGAATTTTACTAGTTGTACACAGCCTTGGATCTACGAATTTTCCAAACCGGGGCAAGAACTTGACATTGGCACCAGTTTCCTCCAGCATTTGAGTTTAAAGATTTCAAACAATTGAATTAGGCCCCTTGAGTTGTCGCACCGGTTTGTCCGCCCTTGGTTCCGGGGCTGGTTTACTAGCCAATTTCACTGATTAAATTGGTAAATATTAATGGTGAAATGATAAGTAAGATAAACTGGTTCAACCAGTGAACAACTTAAAATTTCTCTGTTTTTTTTTACACACCGATCGAATCAGTAAAATCCAACTGTTTATTTTATGAAAGTAGTAGAAAATTGGAAATAAAAATTTCTGCTCGGCCAGAATATTACTTTTCCATTTTAAAGGAATTTTTCTTGCAATGGTACCATGGTAGGTAAGTATTTCTTTATAACAAACAATAATTATTTTTATTAGCAAACTAAGAATTTCTTGTAAATAGCAAAATGATCATAATATTATTATTAAAAGTAATACAGAAAAAAATATAAAAAGGTTAAATGAGAAAATCGTCAAAATTTCAAAAAATATATTATTACAAAAATAGTTTATATTATTAGCTCAATGTTAGTTTACTTAATTGAAACGTAAATACTATTTCTTTAGATCATAAAGTTTCCCTAAAAAATTAAATCAATGAGTTTTTTTTGTAAAATAATTTTTTATATTTATTTAACAACACATATAAATATATTTTTGTTTAAAAATTTGCTCTTTTTAGCTTAAAAAAACGTGGGGGATTTTTTAAATTCGGTTAAAGGTCATTTTTGTAGGGAATTTAATTCTCTACAAAACCATATAACGATATTTTTTGTATCTGTTATATTTAATGAATTATAAAACAAAAAGTTGCGAAAAAAAAATTTTTTCATGAAAAATTCTTATTTAAGCGACCGCTAACTGAATAATGGAGATATGGGGCTAAATTTTTGACACAATTATTTTTTTATGATATACAACCTAATTTTCGTATGGGACCTAAGAAAAAAAAATATTCGTTTAATTTGGCACAGTCTAATATACATATACTATCGTTAACAAAAAAAACTCATACAGCTTAAAAATCTAGTGTTCCTGATTTTCTATCATTTCGTTGGAGTAATTATGGCTTTTAACATTTGAAAGGTCTAAAATTAAATACAAAGTTAGGTTAAAGTTTGAAAAAAAAATAATATTTCGTCATGTTTTTGTCAATTACTGCCCGCAAACGGCAAAGCATGGAAGTCGCCGTCTTCGTCGCTCGTTCCAAATGGCTTCAATGGCTTGCCAGAGTTCGTCTGCATTGTTTGGTTGAAAATGTTGTTAAAAAAGTCATAATGGATGTGACAAAGCTCGATGTCAGCTTGACATTGACGGAAAAGTTTTATTCACACAGCTTCAATATAGCTGTATGAGTTTTTTTTTGTTAGCGATAGTATATACATGCATATATGCATCTAAATAATACCAATTTTAGATCGTGTTTAAATTTATTTTGGTCTAAAAAAGTATATTTAAGGTATACTAAAAAGTAGACTATAGTCCATATGACATATATTTTATATATCGGTGTTTACATCCAAATAATATTAATTTTAGACGGTGCTTAAAATATTTTAGTCTAAGAAAATAATCTATCAGTGGCGGCCCGTGACATTTCATTTTGGTGTTTAAGTTTAATAATATTTATTTTGATTATTTTTTATTAAAAATATAATATATATTTTTAATAAAAAATAATCAAAATAAATATTATTAAACTTAAATATAAATAGTATTTTTTAAATACACTTAAATTTTTGCATATAATTTAACAAAATAAATATATTTCTTCATGCTTATAAAATAATACAATTTAGCGTATTTAAATTGATAAAAGAATACCAAAACATACTGGTAACATATTTAATCCCTAATTAGGGTCAACTACTAACACAAAATTTAATAAAATACGTTTTAATAACAATACGTTCTAATAACAATTTTATATAAAATAGAATATTTAAAACTCAATTTTTACTACACTATAATAGTTTCCACCTTTTTCTATGGTTTCCACTGGTTAAAAGGTATTGAATTGTGTATATATCACAGTTTTGGTAAAATTGATTAATTATTAGTTCATTTTTGTTTTTTTATTTTATTTTAAAAATTACCTTTGGAAGAAGGTCCAATGTCCAAATAAATAAAAAAAAAATATGTAAAGGGCAGACATATTTTAATTTTTTGTATTATCCTCTTCCTGTAACATTTAATAAATAAATATTCCATTATTATAAACTATAGGTACTTCAAAATTTAACAACACACAGGTGTAGTTTTATGAAGATTTTTTTGTTTATGTTAATAAATGCATTTAAAAATTATGATATGAAATGAATTCAAAACATATTTATGTAAATGTTAAATTTATATAAATATCATATCAACAGTTATATTGGTAAATAATACACATTAATAATTATGTTTTGCACACATTGTAGTGGAACTTACGAGACTTTGGTTTTTCCATATTAACCATTGAATTATCAGCAGCCTCAATCCATTCTTTGGCTTTTAAAGAGTTTTTGGGCAATGTGTAAAATTTTAACTCTTTGTTGTTTATGTTTTTGTTCTTACAACTTTTTACCATGCAGTACGTCACTAAATAAATAAAATTATGTAGATAGAAAACTGACTACCTTAGTTTTACTTACTGGTTAAACAACATTTATTTCAAAATAGGCACCAATTAGTGTTTATAAACAAGTACACTAGTACAGTCAACAGCCAATGACAAAATCAACACAAACAGGAGCGCACTCAACTGATTCACAGTGTGAATTTCACACTGGTAACGTCAATAAAACCAAACAGTAACACACAGGAGCAAACTCAACTGATGTCAATAAAATCCAATAAACTAACAACGTTTAAAACGATTATTAATCTGTATAAACAGAGCACAAATCCAAAGCATAAAAATTGTAGACAACAAAAATGGCCGCCTTTCATCTTTTTGCAGTGGGTTGCCTAACTTCGCGATTTTTAGTATGCGCGAAACGAGATAGAACAGACCTTGTTGTGTGGATTGTGCGTACACTTAGGTATATTTTAAATTAATAATATAAGGCAGTAATCAATAATTTTGCAAGATAATGTATCTACCATTAAAAATAAATATATTTATGATAAATCATTACGTTCAAACTGCACTATTCTATCTTATTACGTTTTTAAGAAATAATTGTTTTAAATAAAAAATAATTAACAAGGCATTTTTGGACTATGGCTGTTTTTGTAAGTGACTCATTTCTAGTTAATATTTACAATTTTGGCCTTACCTCGTTATAAAAAACATTAATATGTATATATAGTAGTAATAATAATCTCTACAATTTAATACTTTTATTATCAAATAAAACAAAAAAATATACAGGGTGTCATGTCAACCCTTGGGGTATGATAGTTCACGCCAAAGTAAGCAGGGCTTTTTTCAATTACTCAGTGATACTGTATTTAAATAAAAAAATCATAAAAATCAACTTTTTTCTTAGGCATTTGTTTAGTAGTAACTGAATTCGTTTTCGATGATTTTAAAGGGTAGACTACACTTTGATCTGATCGTCGACAGCTGTTGCTGATGCAATGAAATAAATGGCGCCCAACCAAATGCCTAAAAATTACGTTAATTTTTGTGGTTTTTTTTATTAGTTTTTTTTATTAAAAAACAGTATTCAAAAGTGATAGAGGAAAAACGTAGTTTCTTTGGCGCGAACTATCATCATTCAAGGGCTGACAACTTATTACATGATACTTTTTATTTAAAAATACATTTTTTCTACACAATATTTTCAGTTATTTAAATTAAAATTACGTACCTGATACAAGCACTAGCACGATCCACATAATCCCAACCAGGCTCTTCATCATGCGTATGTCGCGTCATATCAACATGGTCGCTAGAACACTTTTCTGAAAAAAAAAAAATTATTAAACAACTATTTTCGTTTTTTTATCTTAAACTATAAGTATTACATAACTACAATGAGAGGGTTTTACAATAGTTGTGTAAAACCTTAATAACTGTCATCTAATCGTATAGCAAAATTCTTTAAGGAAATTTAAATAAAATACTATTTTGCAACCAGATACAACATGTTGTAATATGCATATAATTTTAAAATATGTACTGAAAAAGCAATAATTCTCACAATAGTTTAAAATAATAATAATAATAATACCCGAACAACACAGGTTGTCTAAATTACATCTTAAAGATGTAAAAAGTAATCTAAAATCACAAAAATTCAGTTTATAGACGGTCTATACATGGTTTTTTTTAGATTCATAGACTGATATCTAAAATAGATGTCAAATATACTATTTTCTTAGACCAAACTTTATTTAGGCACGGTCTAAAATTGGTATTAATTAGATGCCATACACCGATACATCCAATAGATGTCATATGGACTATTTTCTAAGACCAACATATATTTATGCATGGTTTAAAATTGGTAATATTTAGATACATAGGCTAATACATAAAATAGATGTCATTTTACTATTTGCTTACAACAAATTATATTTAGGCACGGTCTAAAATTGGTATTATTTAGATGCATACAAAGATACATAAAATATTTATTATATAGATTACAGTGGCGGCCCGTCAGGGGAGGCAGTTGAGGCAGTGCCTCATCATAGAGAATTAAAAAATTAAGTATAATTTAAATATTTTACTTTCTATAATATACTATAAATTTTTTATATTTGGATTACATGAATTGTGAAATAGTCAATAAAATTGATTGATTTTATACGTGGAATACCCAGCAA